GTGCAGTACACCCCCTAGGCCTTCCATACTGGCATCCACATGGAGGATATATGGTTTCTCAGGGTCTGCATAGGCTAAGACAGGAGCTTCTGTAAGTCTCTTCTTCAGCGTCAGAAAGGCATCTTCACATCCTGAAGTCCATTTCTCTCCAAAGGGGTCTTTAGGATATGGTGCCTTAACACCCTTTACGTCAGAGATAATCTTCAGCAGGTCATGTAACTCTCGAGCAATCTTTGAGTAGTCTTTCACGAACCTTCGGTAGTAACCACAGAATCCGAGAAAGGACCGCAACTCACCGATGTTATTTGGTCTTGGCCAATTCAGCACTGCTTCAATTTTAGCAGGATCTGTGGCTACTCCTTCAGCGGAGACTATGTGCCCCACATAAGTGACAGAGTTCTGGGCAAATCGGCATTTGTCCACTGATAGCTTCAGGCCTTCAGCTTGAAGTCGATCCAACACCTTTAGCAATCTTTGTTCATGCTCCTCTGGTGTCTTCCCGAAAACAATTAGGTCATCTAGATACACTAGACACTCTTTGGGATTCATATCCCCCACAGTTTTCTCCATCAGCCTCTGAAAAGTAGCAGGAGCTCCTGTGACTCCCTGTGGCATTCTGGTAAACTGGAAGAACCCCAAAGGGCAGATGAAAGCTGTCTTTTCCTGATCTTCCTTCTTCATGGGTACCTGATAATATCCAGACCTCAAGTCAAGCACACTGAACCACTGGCTGCCAGATAGGGCGTTCAGAAGATCTTCTATCCGGGGCAAGGTGTACTGGTCTGGCACAGTCCTCTTGTTCAGAGTACGGTAGTCCACACATAGCCGAACTGAACCATTCTTTTTCCTCACTACCACAATGGTGAGGCATAGGGGCTCCGGGACTCTGTGATGATGCCTGCTCCTTCCATCTGCTGGAGTATGTCCCGGACATCTTCCACATCTCGAGGGGGTATTCTTCTTGACCTTTCTCTGAAAGGAGTAGGATCAGCAAGTCTTATAGCATGGGTGGCACTCTTAGAACACCCCACGTCCATCTCTGCTCTGGAGAACACTCCCTCTCGGGTGGCCAGTTTTGAACGAAGGCTGTCTTTCCACTGCTGTGGTAGGGGAGAATCTTCTAGATCAAAATCTAAAGGTGCTTTCACATGATCCGTCTGTTCTGCACTCACAGACATGATGGACGAAACTTGATCTAAAAGGTGTATTACACCAATCTTCTGATGACGATCAATCCGGATTTCCGTGGGGGTTAAATTCTGTACCATCACAGGAAAACTCCGACACCACCTTTTTCGCCAATCTTTTATCTCAGGTATGAGAGTCCACCCCTTCTTCTGATCCTCTTCAGGCAGAGACTCAATAAGGTATTGTCCAGTTCCCCCCAACATTTCATGGTGCATTGAGGCTATGGCTCGTAAGGTTTTGGTCTCACCAGGCTTCACAAATGCAGGTTCTGTTCCTGAATAGTGGCACAACCCTGGTTTTGTTGCAAGGGCTAGTCGTCGACACTCTTTTCCTAGGACAGGGCTGACCTCCATCAGTCGGTCTAAGGAGACATCTCCCACTTCTGTCAGATAGGCCCTGAATACATCCTGTACCATCTTTGCATTAGTACCCAATATTATTGGGGCACACACTTTCTTGGCTGCAGGGCATATCAAAGCTTCCAGCTCCATAGGACATATCATCCCGGTATTTAACTGGGGAATAGTTATGGTCACTTTTATGCATCCCTCCACAGGTTGAGCTTGAGACCCAACGCCCCATAGCTGAAACTCTCCTGCAGGTTCCATAGGAATGTGTTTCAAATGACGTTCATAGAAGTCTCTGTAGATAATGGTGACTTGAGAACCTGTATCTAGCAATGCTGAAGCATGAATTCCTTCCACTTGCACGTGTATCAAAGATTTAGGCCCAATCTTGGCCCCTACAGATAGACTATATGTAGGCCGGGTCTTCCTTCGCTTGTAAGACCTGGTCATTTGAGTCTCCCCGAGCTCGGTTGCCAGCACCCCCACATCCACCTCCATGGAATCCGCAGGGCACTCCCGCTGAAAATGCCCTGACTTTCCACATTTAAAGCAGTTCCCTCGGCGGGGTGAATCCTCAGGAAACAGCTTTTTCTGAGTCTTCCTGTGTTGCCTCCCACTTCCAGGGGGAAGATCTGCTCTCTCTGGTGGTGATTTGCATAAAAGCTCCAATTCAGCCACCTTCTTCCTAAGAGCTGACAGTTCTGTATTCTCTTTCTCCTTCTGTAGGGGTGGACACATCTGGTCTTCCAATCTCCTGGCTGTATTTATTAATGTGGAATAAGGCAGAATGATTCTGCTGGCTCTCAGCAGAATCATAACTGGATTACTGGTCAAACCACCTCTGTGAATTTGCTTAGATAGCCGAGCATCCAACTCAGAGGCAGTGACTGCTCCTTTATGGAATAACTTTCCAAGCGATAGCTGTAACCGGTTGATATAGTCAGTGGCTTTTTCGTGCTCCTTCTGCTTAGTGGCTAGGAACTTAACCAACAGATCATCCAAATCTTCTGATTTCCCATAAGCATCCTGTAAAACTTGTAGATAGTCGTGTGCAGTAGCTTGCCCATTTACTCCCTTGTACAGTCTTATCATGTCTGTAGCGGGAAAACGAAGACTCTCCACCAACCGCTGTTTCTTTATGGTATCCGTACAAGACCATTCCTCCAACAACTGCATAGCATTATCCTTCCAGACCTCAAAAGGCTCTTCTCCTGCAGGAACAGGCTGATTCCCAGAAAACACCTTTAGTTTGCGGTAACTATGGGTGTGGTTTGCCGTCACTATGGCTTCTGAGAGTTTCTGTAGTATGTCCGATACATCACTACCTCCTGTAGGCAGGGTGTGTACTTCAGGGTTGTCTGGTTTCAGTAATGCTGTAGATGGATGAGATTCTGCTTTAGGAGTAATCATCCCCTGTCCTCTAGGAGGATGGGCAGCTTGTTTAGGGATGGCTCCGGCCTTTCCGGAGATGGGGGTCAGGAGCTTAGAATAATTTTCTGTGACATAATCTTTCCGTTCTAATTTAAAGGGTTGTTGCAGTGAGACCCTTTCTTTCTTATCAAGGAGAGCGTACACTAAGGAGCATCCTCCATCCGGGGCTCCATGTAAATGAATGTTGGTAGGCATCTCATGGTCTCCCAAGCCCGTATGACAATATATTAACATGTAAGTTTGGCCTTCAGAATCCTGCAGGATATCTCTGATGGTTGCCATTTCTATTCCCAGTCGAATTTCTATACACAAGATGACGTGATTCATCTCACAGCAGGATGGGACTTTGCATAACATCACAGCTTGCTGTAATGGTACATTTCTTTGCTGGGCCCACTGTTTCACAAAGGAGGGAGTGGCCTGAGGACTTAACCTATTCTCACTGGTTGTACCCCAATACATCTCAGCAGTGCCTCCATCTGTAACGGGGTTTTGGGGGTGCCCCCTAGTGTCTTTGGGGTCCCCAAACCTAGTTAACTCACTATGCCTGACAGGCGGATCCTGAGCCTCCGCTATCTGGGAGCTGGGGTACATGTCTGCGGCAGTGCCTCCACCCAGTGGAGCATCCGGGGTAGGGATGTGGGGTCCCACTGGGAACATACTTGGTGCAATGAGACTGACACAGTCTAACTGGGACTAACTTTATATGGTAAGTAGCAATTGAACCAACATACATAGGAAAATACAATAGAGTAACACAGATAACAATGCAAATGGGGATTTTCCTCACTCACCCACCAGCACACCTGCGCCCCACCCCCTTATCTTCGCCCTAGCGGCCGTTGGTGCACATAGGAGAGTTGGGGCCCTTATAAGTCCTGCTTCACAGGGTCACTGAAGCAGCCTCAGATGTGTAATGTCCGTCACGGGACCTCAGAGTCTTTACTGTGAGTGAGGAGACAGGTGCCCTGTGGTGATACAGGGAGAGGCTTGGCTTACCCTCACAACACGATTAACCAGTCAGTCAGCAGCAGTCTCCTCTCACTGGATTCGCCAGACGTCTGGACTCAGTGCTTGTCTTCTTTCCTTTCCTGCAGGTCCCTCTCTCAGCTGGTGTGATCTTGGGTGAAACAAGTTCTCTCAGCCAGGCCCTATCTCTGTGCTACAGTCTCTCACATGTCCTTTCTCTGGCTCAGCATGTGGTCACTCTTAGAATCCTCCTCCCTCAGAGCTGTGCAGGAAGTCCTGACAGGCCCTGCTATGATGCCACACTCCTCTCTTGATTTCAGCCAGTCATGTGATCAAAGCTCAATGTTTTATTAACAGCATACTGAGTCCATGTGCCATCTACTGGGCATTTCAGATAATGCAGCCTGTGTAACTTCACGGGCTACATATACATTTTGTATATATGTTATATTTCGTATGATATGTTGTAGCAGAGGTGGGAATTTTCCCCGTCCCGTCGTGCTGAAGGGGTTAAAACCCCTTCAGTTACTTACCTTCTTCCACTGCCAGGCTCCCTTACCTCTCCTCCCCCGCTGACGTCAGTTCCCCTTTCTGACGTCAGCGGAGCGGAATGCGCATGCAGTGCTGCGCACGCATTCAAAGTGTCCATAGGAAAGCATTTTTCAATTTTTCAGTGCCGCGCACGCATTCAAAGTGTCCATAGGAAAGCATTTTCCACTAGAGGCTGGCTTAACCCCAAATGTAAACATAGCAGTTTCTCTGAAACTGCTATGTTTACAGCAGGCAGGGTTAACCCTAGAGGGACCTGGCACCCAGACCACTTCATTAAGCTGAAGTGGTCTGGGTGACTATATTGTCCCTTTAATCTTTTCATCCTGGATTAGATCAGTTGATCTGAATTTAATTCTGAAAATATAGAGAATTTAGGCAGATATATGTTATTATGTTGTCCTTCTGATTCTGTAGGTTTTCCTGCAATTTGATACTTTCAGTATCAAGTCTTCTCCTGCCTGTGTTCATGGTTATGTTACAGTCTATGATGGTCCAACTAGAGAGTCACCTCTTCTGTCTCCAAAGACCTGTGGAAATACGCAGCCACTTGTGCTGATGGCGTCCAGCAATATAATGCGAATTGAATTGGCAAGTACTAGGACAGAAGTCAACTTTAAAGCTACTTATAGTTCTGGTGAGTTTGTCTATTTTACTTGTTTCCTTCAAATTCACACGGAAGAAGCCATTTCTATTCAGAGCATCAGAAAGCAAAAACATTTTAGGGACAGTAACCCTTTTTTTTCATTGGCAGCTGATGAAGTTACCCATGGGTATCAGCAGGAATTTTACAGGGGGTGGGGGGGCATAATTGTAATGACATCAATGTATGCCAACCGCATAAGTCGTGTGTGTGTGGAGAGAGAGAGAGAGAGAGAGAGAGAGAGAGAGAGAATAGCACTCCCAGGTTTTCATTTCAAGAAAGATATAAATACAAAAAAACAAGTCCTGCGCTCACTTCCATCACTCCTGGGCGGCAGCAACGACCACAGTACACATCAGCCCCAATACATACAGTAAAAACCAAACTCCAAACCAAAACCAAACCAACTCTTGCTACCCAGAGTTAAACTATAAAAAGATTTCTCATTTAATCCCCTTGGGGATGTAGTGTCTAGAGTCCTAATCAAATAGATCTCCTGTTGTAATAATAGTTTTTTTGCCATCTCCACCTCTCCGCAAGGGTGGTATGTGATCGATTGCCATTAACTTGAAAGATAGTAGTGTTTGTCCATGCTCCATGTCAGTAAGTATACTCACATGCAGACACAGACAATCTCACTGACACAAGCAGAAAGACAATCTCATTGATACACAAACTCATTGACCTAAAAACACAAGCTCACTGATACACACAAATATGCTCACTGACGGACAATCTCACTGACATACACAGCCAAGCTTACTGGTACACACACAACAAAATAGTGCAAACTCTGACACTCACACAAGGTTACTACAGACAAACACATTGGTATACAAACACAAACTTACTACAGACAAGCTTACTGTCACACACACACTCACTCACTACAGACAAGCTTACTGTCACACATATGCTCCATACAGACAAGTTCACTAACACACATACACATGCTCACTACAGAAAATCTCACTTATACACACATGCTCACTACAGACAAACTTACTGACACACATACATGCTCACTACAGAAACGCTCAATGACACACATAATTACAGCAGAAAAGCTCACTGACACACACATGCTCACTGCAAAAAAAGCTCACTGACACACATGCTCATTACAGACAAACCTACTGACACACACACACACAAGCTCACTGACACAAACACATGCTAATTGCCACACATGCACATGCTCACTACAGACAAGCTCATTGACACACACATGCTCCCTACAGACATCCTCACTGACACACACATGTTTATGACAGACAAACTCACTGACATACACACAAACTCGCAACAGACAAGCTCACTAACACACACACTCACTACAGACAATCTTATTGACACACACACATGCTCAGTACAGACAAGCTCACTGACACACTCAAATGCTCACTACAGACAAGCTCACTGACACACACAAATGCTCACTACAGAAAAGCTCACTGATACATATACACATGCTCACTACAGACATGCTCACTGACACACATGCTCACTACAGAAAAGCTAGCTGACACACACAAGTTTGCTTACACATAAGCTCACTGACACACACACACATGCTCACTACAGACAAGCTCGCTGACACACACATGCTCATTATAAACACACACACACACAAGTTCACTAAAGACAAGCTCACTGATACACACACACTCAAGCTCACTCACTATCAGACACACACTCACACACACATACACTCAATCAATCACTGTAATGGGCTGAAGCCTACCTGTCACAGGAGGCTCTGGGAGACTGGGAGTACTGGAAGGCAAAGTCTGTCCTTCTGGCAAGGCCAGCAGCGTGAGTGTGGGGGTAGGGCCTTGAGGGGCAGGATTTGCAAATGGGAGGTGAGGCCTGACTGCGGGGGCAGAGCATAGAGGCATCAAATTGCTGGTGATTCAGAAGGGAGCCTCACAGAGCTCCCTCTGCCCCCCCCCCCCCCAGTACCTCCCTCTTTCTTTCCCTCAGACTGAGCTGCCACAGTCCGAGGGAAAATTGCCTGTGGGGAGGGGACATGTTGAAAAATCCATGGGGGGGGGGGACAAGTGCCCTCTCATGTGACCCCCCTGCAGACACCCATGGCATTGCCCACCCTGACTTGTTGGGATCTACCAACTTAACCACATGTGATCAACCACTAGTCCAAAGATACATTGTGCCCTGTTCAAACCCATAAATCGATAAGCATGTATGTGGGAAACTGCAACCACATTAACCCCTTCGGGAATAAAAGGAATCATGACATGTCACACATGTCATGTGTCCTTAAGGGGTTAAAGAGGCTCATCTCCACCTACTGATGCTGTTACCCAATGGCAGTCTTAAAAGATAGGACAATATGCATGGCTGTCTATTGGGGCATCCAGGATAGATGCCCCATGCAAAGCCAATGGCTGATGTCAGGAATCTGCGTTAAGGGGCGTTTTTATCTTCAGCAATGTCTTGACGTGATTAATTGCTCAGTTGTCTGCAGCATCTCCATTCATCAACAAAGACTAAAATGGAAACTGCAGATATAATTATGACAACATTCCTACTATACACTTATCATTAAACGTTATCATGCTAATAGATTATTTTTGGGGGGTTTTATTGGCAACAAAAAAAAGAAAGAGGCGGTGCCCCCTATACAAACAGAAGATGAGGCAACCACAGGGTCCATCCAGGAACATGCCATGCTCTGTGTATTGGGATGAACAGCACCCATCTTTTTTTGTATATTAAATGACCATGTCATCATCCACTTTCATCTTCTTGCCAGTTCTCAATTTCTCTCCTGTCTGCTGCTCCTGTACCCGCACCACTAATTCGCTTTTCAAGGACTTCTTGTGGGCTGTTCCATTCTTATGAAACAGATTGTCTTCTCCATCAGACTCTCTGCTATTACGCCATAATTTAAGAAGTCCCTTGATACCCCCTCACTTTATAATACCCTATAAACCTCCCAGGATAACTGTAATTCCTCAATCATATATCCTTCTATCTCAAATTAATTAATTAATTCTCACCTTCCAATTCTGCCACGTCCCCACCCTGTCACCTGGTTGCTATCCCCCACACTATCCTCCCTATTGTGTTCTTACACCCCACCTCTTCTAGATTTTAAGCTTGTCCGAGTAGGGTAATCAACAATGTAGTGTTCCTGTCAAAACTTGTAATAGTTTGTCTCATGTTTCGTTAAATTACCTTCATTATAACATTATAAAGCACTGCGGAATAAGCTGACACTGCATAAATGGCAATAATAATAATAACTAAGGTTTGTGGGAGGTATAATATGTCAATTAATTGAGCGACGCATGTTGTCTCCCTTTGTTTTCCCAGCAAAATGTGGTGGCTACTTAACAAACGCGGCAGGTAACTTTTCAAGTCCAGACTTCCCTTCAAAATACCCCAACTCCATGGACTGTTTTTGGATCATTTTGGCCACCCCTGGGAGTAAGGTGATTTTTAAAATGAAAAATTTGTGTTTTTACCCCTTAAGGACCAATGTCGTGATAATAGGGGACTGGTTTAACCACTGGTCAGTAAGGGGTTCATTTGGCTTTCTACAAATAAATTTCTGAAGTTTGTACAGTTTTGGAATATAAAGGAGTCGGTGCTGTAATAAACCATTGAAACAGAAATAAATCCTTATTAAAGCAGCATGCATTATACTTGTGCACAGGGGGGAAAAAATAGTTTCAGCTGAATCACTTCGCCCCAAAATAAAAACAATTCTTTAAACTGTCGCATTTCGAGCAAAACTCATTTTGGCTAGTCCAAATTTCATTAACAAAAAATATTTGGAAAAATGAATCAGACAAATGAGAAAGGCATGAAAATAGGCCAATCAGTGTGACACAATATAAATATTATATATATATATATATATATTGCACGAATAGGAGCATTATTCAGCCATTTGATTTGCAGATCAAGTAAGACAAAACGTAACCAGTAAAGTGAATAGGGGCACAAAAGAAAATATTTATTTATATTTTTATAAAAGTATGTATTTTTTTTTTAATGCTCCTTTTTTCCCACTATTGGTCACTTCTCACTTGATCTGTGAATTAAAAAAAAACATTTACTGTCTGTCCCATAGCTATCAATAATCTTTTTACCTTTAATTATCTCTTTTTGGGGTGGGGGGTTAACATGTGCAGAATTCTGAATCCCGAGTAAAAACGAACATACCGGTATTTGTCCATTGTGTGTTTTGGTCTTGGCTTAGGCTCTATTTCAGCTCAGAGTTTGAGAATTCGGACGATCACACAATCGGTTCAATTTCTGACAAATTGCAGTTCGGTATGAAGTAAATTTCCAAGTCCAGCCAAAATGTATATTTCCATAAATCTGTAAGCCTCTTGCCCATGTAATAAGTGTAAAAGGTCAAAAGTATTTGGGTGTGTAATAAATCCCAATACAGATTGAGGGAACCACATACTCCCTCTACAAACATGTCAAGGAATGCCCAGTTACCAGGCATATAAGTAATCGTACTGGGTTCCCTTGGACTGGAGGCTACTATTTTTAGAGACATTCACGCCCAAAGTCAGTTCTGACGAACTGAGATCCCGATTTTAATCCAAAATGGGGTTGGAGAAAATCTGAGACAGCTCGGTTATTATGGAAGCCAAAATATTACTGCAATTACTGGAGGTAGCAATGGCAATCAAGATGAAACAATATTTATAAATTAAGGATAGCACACAGAATCTGACCTTGTTTGAGGAATTATGAAGGATAAGTCCAACCGTAGAGCAAGCTATTTTAGTGAAGAGGAACAGCTCAGCTATGTTATCCTAAATTTTACATTTAATTTCCCAGCTCTCCTCAACCCTCTGGTTAGCAATTAAACTCCCGTGGCTTTCCCCTTAGCACGCATTTTCAGGAAAATTCACTCACAAATAGAGTGGCGATAATCAAACTGTGTTTTTATTGCAGATAACAATTCACATTGCTCCTTTTAACATGGAATTCTCAGTGCGCTGCTCATATGACTATTTACTCATACGAGATGGATGGAAACAGAAGAAGCGATGTGGTCTTATTCCCAAGTTGCATTTTACGTCTTCCAGCCAGTCTCTGGTCGTCCATTTCCACAGTGATCCGTCGGTGCAGGCAGAAGGGTTCCACGCCAGCTATGTCTTCAGTAAGTGTCCCTGAGGAATCCAGGGCCAAGGTTATGGATTCAGTCTGGGATGCACTTAGGCATTTGATACCAGCAGCCGTTAAGTCTGCTTTAAATGATGGAAAGTATGTCTGGTGAGAAGGCGACATATATGTTACAGAAAGGAAACATATGCTACGCAAAGAGAGGATGTAGAATAGGAAAGACTCATCCATAAGAATCCACGGAATTAAGGTTTGAAGAAGAGGTGAGTTAGAGCTTTTATCAGACGCTGTAAGAGTTTATTTAGTAAACAGTGGATTGCGGTGAACTAAAAATTGAATAGAGTTTCTGGGCCATGTCACCAATATATTAACATTTGGCTATTAAAAAATGCTATTTTTTAAATTGATATTTAGATTTCCGCTTAAAGTATATGGGCGGGCAAAGAAAAAGAGAACAAAATAAAGACAAATTAACACGTCAGATGATTAAAGGGCAACGGTCACCACAAAACTATTTTTTAATATAATAACCATTTCACCAAGTAGTGAAAGGAAATAGTTTTTTTTTCTAATGAATTGTTTTATAAAAAAATTAGAAAAACACATCCCTGCTTTTAGTATATGGCAGGGTCCTTCAGCCATATACACGCACCTTGATATGTAGAGTGAATTTCTATTTTGTATAAGGAGCATGAATGACTATAATTGTGCCGGTAATAATACTATACAAAGAACTACTACTGAATGGTAGATATACAGGGTAAAGCAGCATAAAAACTTTCAACTCTGACATTTCATTAGGTAGTTTTCAAGCAGTTTCACACAAATTGGGGGGGCCCCAGGGCGACTGTAGTCAGAGCCCTCTGTCAGCTGAAGTCCTTGCTTTAGAACCTATTTACTTTATACAGAAAACAAGCTGTGGTGCTTGGCTCACACAATGCCTTTGACTGCTCTTGAGAAACATGAGGAGTAGGTCCAGATATATAGTGGGACCGGCACCAAACCCGATCTCGCTTTGAAAGATCATTTGGGTCAGATCAGTTTAGTGCGCTTGTAATACAGTGCTTAAAGGATCACTATAGGGTCAGAAACACAAACATGTATTCCTGACACTATAGTGTTAAACTCACTAATAAGGTGACACCCCTTAGTCGCCCTATAGAAGTTTTAAACTCACCTTATTTACAGCGCCGCGCGAGTCAGCCGGCGCTGGTTCCGCCCCCTTTGAGACATCATTGAAATGGGCCATTTTTTTGCCGATAGGGAAAGCATTGGATTGCCTAAAATCGGCACAGGGGCAGGGCCAAATGACATTTTGGACAATCAGGACCTCCTCATAGAGATGCATTAAATCGTGTGGGGACGCTGAATGGCAGGGCTGCTTACTGTGCAGCCCTGAGCCAGGAGGCCCCTCCAGTGGCCATCTAAGGAGTGGCCACTTGGAGGTGTCCCTAAGGGCAATGTAAACACGGCCTTTTCTCTGAAAAAGGCAGTGTTTACATGAAAATGCCCAAAGGGAGCTATTATGCTAACTAGATTAAGCTGTAGTTGTTCTGGTGACTCGTGTCCCTTTAACCAATTAAAGTGATTTATTAGATTAATTTAGTAATTTTCCATACAGGAAAAGTTGTGCCGAGCAGCAACCAAATCCACAGAAGGGTTAATGCTGAGCAGCAATTATGCAAATGGGATCCTGGTAACTGACTTTGGGGTCAAAGGCCGGTTACAGCCTATCAGATCCAGAGGAGGGGTATTTAGGCCCAGTTCTCAGCCTGCTCAGTGCCCTGTCGTGGTTTCACTTGTGGTTGTCCGAGAGCGCGTTCCTGATTCAAGTTTCTTCTGGTTTTTTACTTTGGCTTTGATTTTGACTTCCCTGTATTCTGACTTCCCCTTATCATTGTGTCTCTTTCTGTATCCCCTGACCTCGGCAAGTATCCTGACTACTCTCTGGTATGTTAAGTCCGGCCATTCTAAGGCCCGGTAATACCTTGCCTATTAGTCATCTGTGTGACACAATTCTACGTGCTGGACCAACTAGTAATCCTGACAGTAACAACTCCAAGCATCACCAACAATGTTCCTTTTAGGTGAGTCCGTACAATTATGTAATGTTATACAGGAAAAATAGCAGGGCTTAAAATTTCAAGTCCTACTTTACTTGCCACTGCGAGTCCATGTCACGCTCATCAGAACTAAATGTTCATTTGCCAGTGGCTAGTGTCAATTTTGAACCCTGATAATGTACTAATAATAGGAAGAGCGAGTATACTTTACATTAGAGAAAATTGCTGAATGAAAGCGCTAGATTGGCTATATGTGTGGTTCTAGTCCTAATTGAAATGAAAGCGCTAGATTGGCTATATGTGTGGTTCTAGTCCTAATTGAAATGAAAGCACTAGATTGGCTATATGTGTGGTTCTAGTCCTAATTGAAATGAAAGCGCTAGATTGGCTATATGTGTGGTTCTAGTCCTAATTGAAATGAAAGCACTAGATTGGCTATATGTGTGGTTCTAGTTTTACGTGTATATACATATTCCATTTAACAGGTCACTGTTAATCAAACTCCTATTTATTTGGCAAAAAAAGTAGCAGGTAACATTTGATTAGAACTATGTGGGTGATTTCTAAGCGATGGGTGCTCTGTGTAACCCCTTGTGCACTATAATATTTCTATTATTTAATTGTGATGAATATATTTAAAACGGAAAAGGCATCGTATCCATTTTAGTGTTTACTTTTTCTATCCTTGTATTTCCTTTTTCTGCTCCACTCAGGTCCCCAGAGCACTGTCCTCAGATTTATATTACCTAGAACATGCACTCGCTGTACGCAGAGTCTCCTTGGTAGCGGTTTCAGTCATTACATCTTCTAGGATGATTCCCACACTTCATTTACTCTTAAAACTAGACCAGTGGAAGCCCTTTAGATTTATCAGACAGGGCTCCTGTGGCTTTGTCTAGCATCCGTGGGCATTGATAAATACTGTGTATTTTCAGCAGATTGTGTCCCAGTTTTTAACCAGTAGGTCAAAGTCTGTGTGTCGTACTGGTGTGGTTCAAATAAGCTGTAAAAATAAAGACAATTGCATTTAGTTTGATTTCAACATTTCAACAGTGCTGTCATCAATAACGCATTTAGTTCCACTGGGAAATCTTAGCTGAACTGCATTTGTTTGCTTGGTAGCACATGTTTGCACATTGAAGGCCAAGCTGGTAGCACGGTTTTCATTCATATAAACATGTTTTAGAATAATAAAAACATACATCCAGGTCCTCAGTTACGCCTTGTCTGATTCTGGCGCACACCTGACATAAGAGAGCAGAGAGAGGTGGGTGCTGAATGATCCCATAAACACATAGCCTCCTGCCATTGTAGGGAGACAGTATAAGGTGGCCTGGGAAGGGTGGTTTTGCAGGAACTGTGCCATGCTCACGTTGGTTACCACTTAGTGATCTTGAGTACCATACGGGCACTTGGAGTCACAGCTGGTTTGGGTCATGACAGGATACCCTGAAAGATGAAAAACCCTTGTTTCCTATTCTCCCACTCAGAGACATTTGTCTTTAAAAAAAAAAAACCCAAACAAAAACATGCATAATGGACCACACAACAGACAGAGAATAAACAAAAATGTAACATAGCAATTTTTACAAACGAATACAAAAATGTCAGTTACTTTAGTTACTGCAATAAGAAGCATCTGACACAATCAATCCATTAGATTCCATTACATTGTAGACCTGTATAGACTAACCATAAAATGACCTGTTCCTGACATTTCTTGCTTAAAAACGTAATATTAACCCTGTTTTCCTTCATTTAACCACCAATGTTAGTTTTTTCTTTAATACTAAACACATATTTTTACATAGTTAAAATTAACATATTGTTTGTATGTACGCACATATTAGTTTACATTTGGGAACTGTAGAGACATTTTTCTTTCATTGTTGATTTCTAACCAAAGCAGACCTTTTTCTTACTAAAATTACCATCATGGAGGCAGCCATCCTGACTTCTTTAGCAAGATTATTCCTCACCACTGCAGTAGACAACAAAAGAGGGTAACAACTAAAAATGAGTGGGGTTAACTATAGATTGGTAGAGTTTCCAGTTTTTTATTGTACTTGGGCAGAGATATCACCTGTTTGGAAACGGGGAGTCTCACCAAGAGTCCTTGCAGCTCTCTGCCAAAACAGCAAACACAGACAGGCATATTCACTACAGTGAGAATTATAAGTGAATTTTTTTTTAATTTCAAATGTAAGGTCAAAACAGCTTCAATGCAAAAATTCTCTAAATCTGATGTGTTTTCAATTCGATCAGTTTGGCCTAAAATTTAAAATTCACTTTGAATAATCCTGATAGCGAATACTCAGATACATAGGTGAATATAATTAATGATGGTGGCATATCTCCTACCATTAATGCACAGAAATCTAAGTTATAGGGAGGCATAACCGTGGCATTGGGTGTGCCAATGCTTCATAGGGCATGCTTGCAACAAGGCTCATGTCAGTGTTATGTATGTGCAGACACATTGTTAGCACATACAAATATTCCAGCCTAGCATCTGTATATGCACAAATAGTTGTGAAATCAATTGCACATACTGGAAGATGTTCACTGGCAGGACACACAGGTTACTTCCATATTGGGACTGTTCAACCAGATTGGAGATACTTGTTAGGTATATAGCTATCTGAAGAAACTATCCCATGTGATAGAAAAAAAACTAAACTAATATTCCAACAGCTAACTTGTGCAGAGTTTAAATTCTGTATCATGTAATATAGGAAAAATAAAATTTTGGGAGCCCTTACTGTCTGTGACATTAAGATACATTATGGGGCTGCACAGACGGCCTCTAGCTATGTGTGTATTTAGCACTTTGCACCTGTTGGACAAGTCGTGTTACACCACTAGCTCTTTGAACAGCCTGTAATTAGTGTTAGATGAGTAACCATTGGGCTATGTTATATACAAGCTTAGCATTGTAAGGGTCAGCTTAGTAATGCATTCTTACTACAATGTGTAGGGAAAAACAGGCCTCTAAGTCACTCATGCTATGTGTCATATAATATCCTGACTGTGTTCTATTACAGCTGGTACAACATTGAACAAACCATTCTTTTATGTGTGATTTTTCCAGCCCCTGCCAAATAACTACAGCGTAGCCTGCAATAATTCTGAGTAGAGAACGTCGGTCTTCTCATTGACCACCAGATGGCACTAAAACCTAAGAATGAACCACTGAACCCTTTGTTTTATTCACAAAAGATTGGGAGATTACAGATTGAATATTTGAGCTGCCTAATCACGCTGCATTTCTGCAACAAATCATATAATCTCATACTTATAGAATATGTCCACTGATGTGTTTAACCAGTGCAAACAATGATAATAAAAATGTATTCACAAACTAACTCAAGCAATGGGGTCCCTCTATTTTGTAAGAACAATTAATTTTAATCCCTTTTCTTTTGACCCATTTGTTATTTATTGCATAATATTTTAAAAATCTTTGCAGAGACAATAAATGAATAAAACATGGTTAACTGCCTACTCTTTGTAGATTCTGCAGTAAATTATGCCAAAACCAGGAAGTGACTCAGCCAATCAGGATGCCACCATAACGTTCTGTGACAGTGCTCTGCTTATCCCGTACATTCCTGCAAAACTGTGCTTTAGGGTTACAATACGTTTTGTGCTTTGGAAAATTGGATAGTTTAACTACAACTCCCACAAACCCTTGCTTTGCATTCTCTCAGAATAGTACAAGTACTTGTATGCGCATAGCTTCCCCATTTGATATATTCTAATGACTGTGTGGTTTCATAGTTTTAGTGACAATTGCAATTTTTGCTATTAAAATATAATACATGGGTTTATTCAATTAACTTTTAAATTGCATTAAATTGAAAACCGAATTGCAAATGTAAGCAAAACATGCTGTTTTCCTTAAATTTTGGGCTATCATTTAGCAGTTCTGTTTCTGGTTCCCTATTATATGATGTTTAAATCCAACCATACCAGTGATACAGTGCAAGGGACCATCTTGATGTTTGGAATGGGCTTGTTTGCTTAGTGTATCCAAACACTGGATCACTACTACCTCTTATCAGCTAAACCTCTCATAAATATATTTCATTCAATAACATAGCAAGAGGCAGCAAAGGTTCATTTAGCATTAAACATTTACTCCAACATCCCTGACCACTTCAACTTTTAGAAGTGGTCATGGAGGGAGGAATCTGTATGCAGTGTTTTCGAAAAGCTGCACATTCAGAGATATTTGCACTTTTGGGCCAGTGGCTAGTGCACCCCCAGCACAAGTGGCTTAGGCAGTCCAGAATTCTGTTTCAGGCAGCCTAATGTCAGTTCCATTCAAAGAGAACACCTGTCTCATCGCACTGCACACTGGCAACAGACATAATGAGGTTCCCCTGCTTCTCTCGCTTGGTGTGCTCGCTCCCAGTCCTCCCTGCCTCCCTACATTAAGATTCATTTTAAAATAAATGCCTTCTAGTCCCTCCAACCATCCACTCCCTTGTCCTCCATCTTGGGTTCAGAACACGCACATGTGCTCCGAGACTGGAGAACTGTACAATAAAATGCTTCTCTGTTGGAATACATAGAGAAAAGGTGTGCTGTCAGATGGGTGGCACTGGATTCATGGTGTTTAGTTTAATCTTTTTCTTTTTAATAGCTTTATTAGAGGGGGGATCAATTAGGAATGCCCAATAGGGCATTATAACTTAAATTATGGATGATATTAAAAAGGGTTTGGAGTAGTCTTTTAAGTCACTGAGAAGCTTGAAGTCTGTTATCTGGTTACAAATGATTTCAGTCTTTTATTGCAACAGATCCAGTAATCTAATGTGCATGCCAAACTTCGTTAGACCAATAAAAGGTTTTATTTTTTTACAGTCCAAAATTTTATAGGGAAATGTTTTGGTGTTTTGTCTTTGAGAACAAAGGAAGAATACACAGATTGGGGGTTTATATTAGGGGTCCAAAAGAAAAATATTAATATTACACAGATTACAGGCAATGCCAAACAAGTAAATTACAATGTAAATCCTTAGGGAGGTAGGCTGATTGAAAATTATACGAACTCTATTTCCACTTAAATATCAGTTGATGCAAGGAACTGCCTCCCTGTAAGGCGGTAAGAGCACCAATAAAAAATGGACAAAAAAAAAGTAAAAGTGTGTAAAAAATGGAATAAACCAACTAGTGTTTTTTTAACCACTACACATTATTTATGAACAAGTTGAAAAACAGTATTTATGAAAAGCCATGTTTTGCTTTTCCTCCTGATTCGTTCAGATGTTCAACTGCTTTTTGAAGTATAAAATAAATGTTAAAAATAATAAGAAAAAAAAAACAGCACTTCTCATACGCAGTTTGATACCATCCAGTCTCTCGCGTTTGTCAGCCAAATCTCTTTTACAGCAAAAGTGTAGCCATAAAACTGTGATAGAACTCTACCACCGAGAAACTCAGTCCCTGGACCAAAACTGGAGCCTAAACGCCAACACTGGCGCTGCTCTCTTACAACTGGTCCTTAGATACACGTCACTATATTGGAGGATCTGCCCAAAGATCTCATTCACACAAAGCCTGGTTTCACAGAAGATCGACGGCAGTTTGGGCAGCCACGGGTCCCGTTGGTCTGGAGACATCTGCAAGAAAAAACACATTTAAACATTTTAGCACGGTATGTCATTGGAAGCTGAATATTTCAACAACATAAAAACATCCTGCCCACGTAACAAGGGTTATACAGTGATCAGCCACAACATTAAAGCCACTGACAGGTGGAGTAAATAACATTGATTAGATTGTTACAATGGCACCTGTCAAGGGTTGGGATACATTAGGCAGCAAGTGATCAGGCAGTTCTTAACGTTACAGTGTAGGAAGCATGAAAAATGGGCAAGCGAAAAGATCTGAGTGACTTTGAAAAGAGCCAAATAGTGATGGCTAGATGACTGGGTCAAAGCATCTCCAAAACGGCAATATTGTGGGTTATTCTCGGTATGCAGTGGTTACTACCTACCAAAGTGGTGCAGGAAAGGACAATTAGTGAACATACATTAATGATCATGGGCGCCCAAGGTTCAATGAAGCATGTGGGGAGTGAAGGTTAGCCCGTCTGGTCCTGTAGCTCCCCATGCTACTGTACAGTAGCTTAAATTCCTGAAAAACTTAATGCTGGCCATGATAGAAAGGCATCAGAATGCATCGCAGTTTGCTGCGTATGGGGCTGTGTAGGAGCAGACCAGTCAAAGTGCCCATGATGACTCCTGTCCACCGCCGAGAGTGCCTTCAATGGGGACATGAGCATCATAACCGGACCATGGAGTAATGGAAAAGGCTTGCCTGGTCTGATGTATCACATTTTCTTTTCGATTAGGTGGATGGCTTAGTGCATGTGCATCATTTACCTGGGGAAGAGATGGCAGCAGGATGAACTATGGGAAGTCCGGCCTGCCAGCCGAGGCAGTGTTATACTCTGGACAATGTTCTGTTGGGAAACCTTAGGTCCTGGCATTTATGTGGATGTTACCTAGAGATTGTTGCAGACCATGTACAACCCTTCATGGCAATGGCATTCCCTGATGGGAGTGATCTCTTTCAGAAGAATAATGCACCCTGCTAAACTGAAAATATTGTTCAGGAATGGTTTGAGGAACATGACAAAACTCAAGGTGTTGCTTTGTCCTCCAAATTCCCTAGATCTCTGTGAGCATCTGTGGGATGTGCTGGAACAACAAATCCGATCCATGGATGCCCCACCTCCCAACTTGCAGGACTTAAAGGATCTGCTGCTAATGTCTTGGTGCCAGATACTACAGAACATGTTTTATGGAGTCCATAGCACGATTCATCAGAGCTGTTTTAGCAGCACTAGGAGGAACTATGTAATATTAGGCAGGTGGTCTTAATGTTGCGGCTGATTAATGTATATCATGAGCTATGGAGAGACAATATTTTGAAAGCACAGCAATCTCCATGGAAACCACTGTAATGTTCTTGTTGATTGCACAACTTATAGAACTTTGTCCCAGACTTGCAAATACTACTAAAGATAAATAGAGGGTATCAGATCCCTATTTATTTATTTCTATAAATATACAGACCACAGCATAAAGCATACCACACGGACAAAAATGTGGCAACCCTAGGTAAACCACTGATTATGATGGCAGGGCGACAAAACAGTTATAGCTACAATGTCTGTACAAATCTATTCTATTTGTAAATTCCATGTTGTCTTACATATTCTGAAGTCACATATCTGCTGTTCCTATAACAAATCAGCCCCAAACTCTTATTGTGGCCTGGTGGTGACTCTCCTTCTGGTCTAACGATAGGCTTGGTAGGCCTGGCTTTATAATGTATAAACTCTCACCGGAGGTGGAACACATGAGAGCATGGCAGTGCCTGGAGCTGGAAGTTCTTTTCTCCAATGGATTCGCCACACATGCCACAGTATAACTCCATCTCTTCTACACACTCGTGGAATCGGACCACGTGGGCACGGAGCTCACGCTGCTGCTGCCTCGTGCGGAAGATGATCTCACTCAGACAGTGAACCTTCATCAAACATAGCTGGGAGTAAAGTGTAAGGAAAACACAGCATGAGAAACAGAATTATTCACTAAAATAGAGAATTCAAAGTAAACTCAAAGTAAAAATAGCCGAAGTGAAAACATTGTCTACAGCCACACAGAAAAGAAATCCACTGTCAGAAGACATTTAACTATGCTTGAAGAACACAACTCCTACAATTCTTAACCATCTATAAAGTAGTAAATGTCTGATCTACAATTTTACTGTGAGTAAACCTATTTTTCAGACACCTGGTTGAGTATTATGGGAAATGTAGTTTACAACACCTAGTGTGCAACTGGTCATCGATCAATCACTGGTACTTAACAAGATATCGCCTTTAAATGGGAGGCAGAATTGGAATTATAACACTTATAGTAATGACTGACAGGGAACTACGGTGGAGATGTCTGGATGCAGGTTAAAATATCCATTCTGCCCTTACTTGCTGTGCCACGAGTAGGGGCGTGGCTGCTCACTGTTGCAAAAAAAAAAAAAACCCTCTCCCATGGTGGGGCACCTATTATAATAATTAATTGGGGGGGGTTATAGTGTCCCTCTAAAGCCCCCACCTGTGTCCCTCAAGTGTTGGCTATTAAACTAAATCGAGGATCTAGCGTCCACCTCCATCCCCACCCATCAGCGGCGAGTTGGGGCCCAAAATAACGAAGGGGGAACCTATTGTAACCCCCAGCCTCCACCCATTAACAGC